ATATCCAATTCTCAAATCCAAAAAGGCATACATGTTAAAGACAGAAAGGACTACTCAACCACTCATTCTGATTTCTTTAAAATCATGGAGTACTATCTTCAATTCAGTTATTATCCTAGTACTCAGCTTTGAGTCCAAGAATGTGTTTGATAAAGGTATATCTTGGATTTGGCTAGCATTTCTGTTCCAGAAAGTTGTGCACCCTTAGTTTATAGAGAACAGCAGTCAGAACACCTCCTTTTGTTGTGTATTTCACTGTCTATTCCCATAATTTCTGATGTCAGCTTGCTAACATCAACTTGTGGCCAGCGATTTTCTAGCTTAAAGACCTCTTTTACACTCAGCGTTCCTTGTAATCAGATCACCTCACAAATGTCAGTTTGACAAGAACATAATGGAATTTATTTAAGCTTTCACTGAAACTCCCTTTTTCGGGTACTCAATTACTTTTATAGTTCCTTTCTGTACCTTTTCAAATTCTCAACCGTCTTTCAAAAACAGAAATATTTTCAAGATTCTATTATTAGTCTCTTCTGAGCCATAAAGGAAAGCAGAATCAAACCAAACTTCCATTTGCTACTGCCATCTTCATGCCATTCTCCCTTTCTTGCTACAGCATCAACTGGACTCTTCTGTTTAGTTGCCTGTCTGTTATAACCCCCAGACTTTTCCAGATATGTTCCTTCCTCAGTTTTCTCTATTCAGTTTTCTGCATTATTTAATTCTGCATTTCCTCTTCCAGCAAATGAAGTTGTGTGCTTGGCAGACTTTATTTTATTTTATTTAAATGGTGTCACTACTCTAAATAATTTTTGTTCCTTTTAGGACATTTTATTTTATGCTAGTCTCAAAGCACTGATGAAAATGTTGAATTGCACAAGACTGAAGAGACCCTCTTATGATGCTGAGCCTTGACTGAATGCTTTCTTATACATATTAGTTAGCCAATTCCTAACTCAGTTAAAACATGCTTTATTGATATTGTGTAGTCCTATATTTTTAATTAGAAAGTTGATAGTCAATGATGATAGTCAAAAGACATACAAAAGTTGAAGTGTATTATACCTTCATCGTTATCTTTGGCAACCTAACTTGAAATCTCATCAAAGAGCGGAAGTAGATTTGTTTGACAAGGCTTATTTTCCACAGAATTATCTTGACTAGCATTAATTATATTCCCATCTTTCAATAATTTATTAATTGAATCTCTTTTCAACTTTTCCATTATTTTGCCCAGGACTGATGTTGGGCTAACCATCCTAGGGGTACAGGGGTCACCTGCCCACCCTTTATGAAACACCAATACAACATTTAGCACTATTATTTACTGGAACATTGCTGACATTGTTCATAACTCATTTAGGTCCCCTAAATACATCCTCATTTTTACCTGTAGCATAGATATTTTTTTCTTGATGGAAAAATCTCATTAGCAAATGTAGAAGTAAATATTTAACATTTGTGTAGATAAACTACTGAAGACCTAGTTAAGCCATTGTGAAATATGTTAGAAAAGAAAGTCAAATTAATGTGAGTGTGGGAAAAGTTGTTGCGCAACTCTACCACAGTTTTACAACAACATCAGGATGCACGCTCAGATTAGAAAGAATAATTGAAGAAGTTTGAATATATATCTGAAATTCTGAAAGGTAGTTAAGTTCTTGTTCTCAGAACTGGCTTGTCAGTGGGATATAAAATAGAAAAACACTCAGTTACATGTATACTAGGTTCTGTTCTGAATTACAAAATCCATCTCAAAGTGTTGATTTCTGTTCTGGTTTTGTTCTGCTTGAATTTGAGCTTGAGTTGGATGCTTTCAGTTCCCTGCATGCCTGATGCTTCTGGTTCTGATCTGCCTCTAATTTCACCATGATTAGGCAAGCAAGATGACACACAAAAGGGAAGGGAAGATAATGTTGTTATTGTTGAATTTTATGTTATCCTTCACTCCTCAAATAATCTCAAATAATTAGCGTTAAAGTATACGGCTACAGGAGTTGCAAGAGAACGCCTAGTAGGAGAGCAAGCACTTCTTCCACAGATTTCAAAAGAGTCGAGAGAGCCTATATGATTTCAACAACACCGGACAGCAAGATTCAGGCCTGTGAATTTACTGGGAGCTAAAGTACTTGCGCAATAGGTGTGCCAAAGGACAACGCTAACTCCCGGGCTATGTCTGAGGGCTTGTCTCTCTGGAAATTAGGGAGATCAGGATCAACCTCGGATCCCTGATCCAAAGTTTTGAGTTTCCCCTCCTATTTTGCACATGTTGCATGGGCAGTTTTAACTGTTATTTCTTATTTTTGAGAGCTTGACTTTGCAATCTTACTATTCCTTTAGCATAGCAGGGCTTTCTTTCCCCTACTTATTATACACTAGCAGCATGATTAGAAAAATAGGAATCCAGCTCTGTTTTGTCTTTATATAGTAGTTTGGCTTTCAAAAGTGCTGTACAGCCTATTGTTGGCATTGATTTCTATGACTTATTTCACTATAGAAAAATGAATCAAGCACTGTAATTTTAGGTACTGTCTTTTGAAAATCATGTCATAGATGCCTTTTTAACTCCAGCAGTTCTGCTTTACCGTGACTGTGATTTGCACAATAAAGAGAATGGAGAAGTTTGCAAAACCATAGCAACAGATCCTATCAGAGAAATTTTAAACTCTTTTCCTGTTTGTGACAGGACAGTACTGATAGGATCTGAGCACTGAAGATCATTCATGATAAGCTTGATTTATGACACAGCAGTTAGTTGATTTTCTTTCACAGACCCTCTTGGTGGGATGCCACAGTGGTGGTTCACAACAATTCGTTACCCATTACAGAGAGACCATCAGCTTCTTTTAAGCAAAAAAAGTAGCTGGGGTGCAATATAGCAGTTGTATTTATAGCCTATGCATTGTCCTCACTCTCCTTTATGCCAGTGAAAGAAGCTGTACTTCCAAAGCTGCTGATCTGAGTGTTCTGCATTTCAGGAAAGAGATCTTGATCCATTTAGGCAGTGTAAGGGTCTGGACAGCAGTCACTTTTTGTGGATTCAGTGAGCCTAGAATTCAGCACAAGCGTGAAGTATGTGTGTGTGCTTATGAAATAGCAACAGAAAACAAGGGTACACAATAAATTCCTACTCTAGCCTACAGTGGGACTTATTTTCTTTCCCTCACCACATTGTATTTCACCTGTAGACTGACCAATACTCTTGCTAAATTGGTATGCAGTGGATTTTATATTTAGATTCCAATTTAAGAAAACACTTATTGAAGCTGAGGGGAAAAAGTACATACATAAGTATCTGAATGACTTGGGATGGATTTACATGTGTCCTTACACATGATAAACTAGAGCCTAAATTAACATGGCATTAAATACATTCTAAAACTAAGAAAAACTTTCTAAAACTGACACATTTGTCAATTAAGATAAATAATATCACAATTTAAGTAAATCAAAGATATTTACATATAGTTTGTAAAACCACATGTGTGATGAATACCTTCCTAATATAAAACATGGGAAAGTCTGAACAGTAAGTTTAAGAATTTATATCAATATTTTAATGGAAAGTTATTAAATAAATTTAAGGCTTGCATCAAAATAATTAATGATATATTCATTATTGCATGGCTTAATCTCTTTTACGTGACTAAAAAATTAGTTTAAATTGGTTTAAAGAGACATAATTAAAACAATTCTAGACATGCCACCATAACACAATTAAAAATAAAGTACTGCAATACTGTACAAAAATATAGCTAATTTAAGTGCAAACCCCTTTTATGGGCTATTCATCTCTGCTTATATATGTTAGGGGAATTAAAAAGAAGTGTGTTTAAATGGACTGATTTTTTTTTTTTAGAGAAAATAAGGGCTACAAAGCAAGCCTTGCTGTTATTTAACTAATATTAATCATACTTACTCAGAGACCACTTGAGAAAAATTTATTGTGAGAAATTTGTGACTAGGCATGCCATAGCAGAAGGAAAGAGCCACAGGGCAGCAATGACAGTAAGGTTTGTGTATGCAGTGTTTCTCTGGTAGTCAAATAGCAGGATGTGACATTGATCTGAAATAGGACCTGTTTGAAGTAGCAACTGTCAATCTCTACAATCAAAGGATGGCCCAAAGTCTTACTCAATTAGCCATTTTGGCATGACCACTCCGTTTATAAAGTCCTACCAATGCAAAAAGTGATCTGTCCTCAAAAGGCACTTCAAGAAGACTGCATGGTGTGAGGATAGTGAGCAATCGTCTAGAGCTATACGCTTGGACTCTGCTGTTTATATATATATATTTTTTTCAAAAATACAACAATGCCTCATTTAACAGATTGTTCTTATTACAAGGTGAGCCAAATGTGGTTTTAGATATGGTGAATGTCTGTTGCTGTTTACATTACTTGAAGATGGTTGGATTATGCTTCTCTTTATACATTTATTCACTGTTGCGAGCACAAAAAAGTAATTACCTTGCAATATTTATTGTTGAGTACATATATGCTTGTAGATTTGATTGAGTGGTCAGTAATTTCAGCAGAGATCAGTCTTGATTGAGAAAAGAAAAACATATGGCACACTTCTGATCTCTTCACAAGATTATGTTTATGTTATTTTCTTTGATAATTATTCTGAAGGTTTATTCAGATGTGTTATGGGAAAATAGTAAACAAAGAATCAAAACGTAAAGGTTCAAAAGTTAAAAAAGATTTGAGATTCATAGCAATTCTATCCACAAGGTATGAAAGCTAAATCTGTTGTTTTGAAGTTTTTTTTTAAGTGAGGGTGTATGTAAATGCTGTGTCTGAAACTTTAACAATTGTTTCTATTTCTTCACAGGTGCAAACACACTTGGAAAATCAGTCTAGATACCATATACAGCAAAGCCAGAGGCACCAGGTGAAACAGTACCTGACCCTTGATACCAAGCTGTCCAGCCAAACACTCTCCCTGTCCCACTCCCACACAATCCAGCCTTCAGGAGTTGCCTCCTTATTAAGAAACGGACATATGCCTCCCATCAGTGATATTGGCACACCAGAAAGCCCAGTTACCAAGCTGTTGGCCCTTGGAGGAGAACACGAAAATGCGGTAGGACAGGGCTGGCAAAAAGAATGGGGAAATAAGCGCTGCCTACTTTTAGGAAAATGTTATATGACCCATCTTGCATTAATTGTGGGAAGAGATGACTTTCTTTACTTTTGTGGGGCCTTCAGATACAGCTCTTGCTCCCTGAATCCTTCTGGATTGCATGGGTGATTGTCTTGAATGTCATGTGAGTAGCTTACTGCATGATCAGGCTTCTAAATTACTACCAGTTTAAATGTACTGATGCATCTTTTTATCTATGAGTCACATATTGCTATACGTTTTCTGAACATGTACTTTGCAATGCAAACTTTTTTTTTTTCAGATGAGAGTCATTTCTGTTTAAAAGTATTATCCTATCTGCATAACAAAGTTAAATAATGATTACTTTAAAGATATAACTGAAAGAATCATTCATTCATTTTTCAGTTAGCTGATATATTTATATATGGCTTATCTTGGGTAAATTGGCACAGATCTGCTAACTTTAGTGCCATCATTGATTTTAATAGAGGTACAGCTATTATGCGGTGTCAGATTCTCATTCAGTGTGAGATGTAGATCGTTATGGTCTTTAATACTTCAGTAGATTTCAAGAGAGAGTGCTTATTAGGTAAAAGAGGAATTTCTACAGAAATAAGAAATGGAGATGCCATATCATACCTTGGACTTTAACAGAACAGAAGAGTCTTATAAATACACTGTGACCCACCTTGAGCGTTTGGATGCTATGCTGCTAAATGAAGAGGGAACTGAAAAAATAAAACCAAAACTTGTTGGAGAGCTCATTTGGGGCCCTTCCGTTTTGTCGATGGACAACTGACATTTTATGCCAGATCTGTGGATTATGGGAGTCACTGCTCTGCAAATATTCTTTGTGGAAGCCTCTGTGGCTACCTCTGTGCTGATAAGTTTAAGATGTCGAGGGCCGTTCTTAGACACTCAGAGTGTCTGACCAGGAGCAACCTGAGCCCACTCTATTGCACTTCTTTGTCCTCTAGAGCAAGAAGGCTGCTTGTAACCCCCTATTGCTCCCTCCTGAACTATGCCTGCTGATATTTGGGAGTGTGGCAGCTGTCGCAGGCCAAAGTGCATGTAGTGACCATCCTAATAATTTAAATGGTCCATTTCCTGAGCCTCAGAAAGCTCACTGGTACTGTGCAGTTTAGTAGTACAGACATACCCTGTGGGTCAACATGGGCTATGTGTATACCATGTATAAAACGTAACCAAGGCACAAGCTTGAGCACTGGACTGTGGCTATTCATATTGTCTAATTGTTGGGACATTCTCTGGCATCCTTTGGCCCAGATAGCAGTATCCTGGATAGGTCTGGGCTCAATTCATGGGACAGTGCATGTCCTGTTTTTTGAAGGGGAAGAGGAGTGTACTGAACGGTCCCTGGCCTGTGAATGGTCCCTGGCCTATGGTATGAAATCATTTCATAGGGCAATCTACATTTCCTTCTGAGCTGGAATAGCTCTTTGGACAGCTCCCAAGATCTGCTTGGAAACCCTTACAGCGCAAGTGAGCTGTTCCAGCAGACAACAGAGTTAACAGTGGCAGGCTCATTATCTGATCTTTTTAAAGGTTATTTTGTGAAGGGAACTAGATTAAAATTATGATTGAAAACTCATACTGAACCTTGTCCAAATCTATATATTTCTGTTTGGAAAGTATATCCTGTTTCACCTTATATAATTAATTAGTTATTTCATCTCCTTTAACTGTTATTGATTCAGACTAGGACAAAAAAATTGAACCAGAAGGCTCATTGGAGAAGTGTACAGTACACTGTCAAATGAGAAATCACTAATTTTTATGCTTCCAAACACAACACAAAGTTCTACCTGCTGAATCTCGAGAGGGGAGTATAACACCATGCTCTTGAAGAATCACAGGTTCCTTCCAGCCTTCCTGCTCCAATACAAAAATACCCTGTGGATATGACATGTCTGCTAAGGTGATGGATTGTAGTTACAATTAGCAATACACTTGTGTCATTTGATCTGGGTGTTGCAGTAGGGAGTTGAAAAAAGGTGAATGGGTTACTGGTGTTCGAGAGGAAAAAGGTAACTTGCTAAACCACAAAAATTGTTTTCATCAGAAGTAAAAAATGAGACTATCCTGTAAAAATGCCTAAATTATTTCAAGTTTAAGATATAAACTTTTGAAATTCAGTTTTATTTATGCTGTATATACTCAGGATTATTTCCTCTGTATTTTCAGAATAATATTATCTGCATTATTGTTAATAACGATTAGTTTAAAATATTATTTTATTAGATGGAAGAGGTTATTGATGACATAATCAATATGGAATCAAGTTTTAATGATGAAGGGATAGGTTGCTCTGAAGCTCCTCTGCTAATGCAAAGAACTGTAAGTATTTTGTGGAACGTGGTCTTGCTGTTTATAATAGAGAATTTCATTAAGTGATCCAATTGTACTTTACACTTCAGAGGCTAAAGCAGTGCTATCAGTGGATTTATTCTCCTTTCTCTTGAGTTACTTGTCTTTACGTCAAGAAATATTAAAAGTAGGGATTCTAAAGTAGTGAGATATAGCCATTTTAACAGGCCTAAATTGCATCCAGTGGTTTAGCCCAGACGCAGCTCCAGTGTGTACGCCACTGGAGGCAATAATTCACTTGCAGAACTATTTATATAAAGACTCTGTAGACCCATGAAGGCCTTTTAAAGTCTTGCTTTAAGATCCATTTGTCTCAGCTCAAAAAGTCAAAGCTGCCTCATGTAGCAGTAGCTATTCTTTGATTTACGTTGAGGTAAGAATATGGTGGGTTGCACTTATGTTGAATAATTCTATGGACAAAGATGAGAAATATCACTTTTTGAGTGAAATGACTCATTGGCATAGCAGTAACAGAGCATTATAATTCTGTGATCTCTTTCTGTAAAGGAATGACAAAGGAATACCAAAGTTTGCCTAAATTTTCATATATGCTACACATTTGAAAAGGCAGGATAGACCTTTTACGGACACAACAACTTACAGAGCATTATTATCTGGGAATTTAACATCTGTCTAATAACCCCAGTGCAACATACTTTATAGAGGATGTGCCCTCTGTCCTTCCAGCCCTGATTCATCTTGGGAACATTTTTCCACACATTTTGTTCTCAGGGCCCTAAACTGGCTGTTATAAAGCTAAAATTCATCTTGGCAAAGGCAGAAGGTTTTTCACACTCTTTGGCAATCTACAAAGCTCGTTTCAAAGCTAGGTGCTTTTCTTAATCAGCTACTAGAAGAATATCTTTTTCTGACTACAGAACACCACTACTTACATGAAACACTTTAGGAGATGATATTTCTATGTCCCTGTTACCCACCACGCAGTACAGAGTGGCAATTAATACTTACCATGAATGTTTTGCCATCTGCATGCCAGTTACAGAACTAATACGGTCAGTAATAACATAGTCAGCATGATTTATACAAACCTAAGTACAGAACATATCAAAGAAATGCTCCTGGAGGAGTGAAATGATAATTTGGCTTATATTAACCTGTGGCGGGGGAGGATCCTTTCTGGTGTGGTACAATGGGATGGTGATGGGAAGAATGAATTCTCTATTTTGGATTGGACTCACACTCCCTTAACACCTTTTAAAACTGGATAATATTAATCTTTGTTGATTCTAGACTCATTAGCCTCTATCTTCAGCCATGAAGGACATATGCGAAATGTATTGAATGCCCTGTTTTTGAAGAGCAAAGCAATAGGCAGTGACTTTTAGGCCCAATTGTATTCTATTTAAAAGATTTGAGACTCCTGCAATGCCTTTGGGCTGGATAATGCTACCTACATTTTTGTTTGTGCTGCAGAAGTCCTCAGACTCTTAGTTAAACCAGGAAAAGAGAGTGTTTTTCCAAATTGCCTACTGCAGTACTGTGGCAAAATGAAGCCTGCCTTCAACAGGGCCTGTGGGCTGTGCAAGTGTGGAAACAAGTCCAGCAATGTTTCTGCCTCTTCCATCTTCTCTTTTGACAATTTTAACTCCAAAAAACGTATGAAAAACATGGTTATATGGAGGTGAATTCAGGCACATGACTTCAGACACGTAGCTTGTGACTCACTATTTTGTGGCATCTTTATGACAACGTCCTAAACTTGCCTTCAAAATTTCATTCATAAGCTGCATAAGCATATTGAATAGAGAAAGATAGAGAGGCAGGCAGAAAAGATGTACTTCAGGTCCAGTTTTTCAACATCTTATAAAGCGTGAGGACATTTTATTTATCTGAGGTAAAAACACGGATAAATTACGACAATATTGGATTAGAGACAAGTTATCAGAAATGAGAGAACATCTAACTTTATTCATGCTCCTGAGGAGAGGAACCGTCGTTATATAGTACTTAAACAGTTTTATACAAAGATTCATATCAGCTCTTTCATCCTTTGCATAGGCCCTTTTATGATGTCTGCTATCAACATCAAGTAAATGAGATTACAAATGAGATCAATGGGCCTGGCCAGTGAGCCTGGCTCACTTGGCATTTCTTTCCTCCTTATGCTTATCCGGGCAAAGCTGAAGAATCTTTTGGGTCACATCTTAGATTTTTCCTTCCTTGGTATTCTCTTGAATTTGTCCGAACTATGCAAAAGAGTCTCTAAAATTCTGAAAAAATCTGAGTCTCTTGTTTTTCTGAATATGTGTCAGGCTCATCTTTTCATTAAACTCCTTGCTTGGCCAAGCCAAACTCATGAAGCAGATTCATGGAGCAATTTGCTTTTCTCATTTTTCTCAGTAAAGGGCGGGTGAGATTAGGGATTTTGCAGGGCTAACCATTGTGTGTTGCTATGAACTAATGTTTACTTTAGTAAGATGCACCCGTGTACCATTTTAATGGGCACATTAAATGAGGACATTGAATTCTATGAGACTACTCATGTGAATAATTGCTCAGAGGTTCATTGTTTGACCCTCAATTAATGAATTACAGTCATGTATTAGTAGAATCAGAGAAGTGAAAACAGCAACATCCCTCCACTTCTCATTAAAAATAGCACAGCTACTAAAGAGCTCTTTTTCTTGCTTTTACTGTATTTGGCCTAAAATTCATAATTTCATAAAAGCTTCTATTGGTGAGCAGCAACATAAGAATCACTCAAATCAGGGAATGCTCTGGCTATGTTTCTCTTGCTCTTAATGTCACCCTAATACTAGAAACTTTTAATTGCTTTTAAGAAGCTGGGGTCAAAGATAGGTCTAGGTCCTTGTTATATGCAAGGTCTCTTGATTCTTCTGAAAGTATTTATAGACTAAATAAGTATTTATATCTGTCCAGGAAATATAGTTGAAAACAAACCATAACTGTTCTTATGATCTAGCACTTGATGAAAGATGTTTTTTTCACCATGGACGTGGTACTAAAGGGGTAAGAAAACTGTATAATAACTACAATCTCAACTTCTAGTGCAATTTTAAGTGTGGGCCCCACACCTCAAATTCTGAATTCTCTGCTGATAAAATTTAGGACTTAATAAAGAAAACTTGAAGATAAAACAGAACATGACTAATTTAAAGTCATTTTTCCTCATCCTAATAATTTAGTCTTATGAAACCATTTACTAATAGACAGCAACTTATTTAACTATATTATAAGAAACCCATTTGTGTTCTGAGTGTCATATTAAGAGCAACAAATGAGCTGGTGCTTTTCCTGACCTTAAAGGATTCATTAAAAAGCTTCCATTTGTAATGAAACAAAGAGTAAATGAATAAGTTTTAGAAGCTAAATAATATTATACTACGCCAGATATGGTGACAGAGATTTGGACAGTATACATTTTTCGTTTTTATCAAACCTTAACTCTTATTCAAAATCCTCACATTCAGCATATTCAACATTCTATAATGGATTTAAAATATTTTAACCTATGAATGTTCAGAACATATGAAATGTAGATGTGCAGGTCTGCTAATGTAAAGTGTATATGACATCATCATTGAAAGTTTAGTGCAAGTTCTATAAAGCTGAGGTATGTGTTGCTTTTAATATCTGAAGAAGAGAAGTGCAAAAAAAAAATATCATGGGAGATATGGAGAGCATCAGCTACAGTGAGATGACCCAGAAAAGAGCAGAGTTAAAAAATAAGATTCCTATATTTTTCAAGTTTCTAGTTGACAGTGTGTAACCTAGTGAAACCTTTAACTGTTACTAAACGTTGTTTTGTTGTGTTAATGTATGTACACAGAAGGTTGTCTTTTTATCTGTATTTTCATTCAGAAATAATTGCTGTAGCTCAGAAAATCATTGTGCAGCTACTGCGATAATGTTGACATGGGGTCCAGTAAAACTTCTATGAAAAGAAAATTGATTGGTTTGGAATGAGAATAAAGTGAGAGGATATTGACATTCCGCCAGGATGCCAGCTTCTCCTGCACATTTCTGGGTGTGACAGGGCAGAAAACAACAACTTAATATTTTGAACATTTCTAAGGATTCAAAGTTGCCTTTTATTCTCACAGACTTTTTAGAAGCATTTCTGTAGAAGCTAGGGGAAAGAAGCTCTGCAGCCATCAGACACCTGGTGGTGAGATCTCCTGTCCTGGCTGTTAGGGCTTGCGGCAGAGCACTAGCATAAAACTGGGCTTCCCAGATCCCTAACAAATGCCTGACCAGTAATCTGTTGAATCAGGTGGGCTCACTGTTCCTGGCCCAATAGATAAGAAAATGGAACAGTTCCCTTCAAATTGTTTAGGAGAAAAAGGAAAGCCTCTCCAAGGAAAAATATTTAACTGATTTTTGCCACTCCAATACTAAACAGAGCCCCCCACAAAGTTTATGTGTTGATTTATTCATAATACTTAATGAATATTTTATTTCTGTAAATATCCCATTGAATGAGCTTGCCAGCAGCCATGTTTTCTGAAAGATATAGCTTCTAATCAGCAGG